AAAAAAAAAAACAAAAAACTGTCAGTCAGCGATACCACTTAAACTTAGAAAAACCTTTATTGAATAAAATAGAAACCAAATTTTGGCCATGGATAGTAATTACTTCCTACAAAAAACTGCAGCCCAATTTCTATGTCACAGCCCTTTACACCTTCTGCTCAGAGATAGGGAGGGAAAGTATAAGTCAGACCAGCAAATAAAAAGAAACAGAAAATCTGCAAAACCAAAAGCAAGTACCCTGAAAATAAGTAAATAAAACTGATGAATTCTATCTGGGTTATCAAACACCAAGGGAGGCTAACGCAAATAGAAAAACATCCAAAAGAAGAAAGTGAATTTTGCTGCCCTAACATCCAAAGAGAAAAAACTGACCAGTACCACTTATAAAGATGAATCTAAGAACTCAGTAAGTTTGTGATATTTTGGATTTTTAAAACAGGGTCTTGCTATGTTGGTTCTGAATTCATTTTCTCTACCTCAGCCTCCCCAATGATTCATTTAAACAGACAGTCCCATCATAAAATTTAAAACTGCAGGACCAGAGAGATGGTTCAGTGGTTAAGAGCACTGGCAGCTTTTCCAGAGGTCCTGAGTTCAGTTCCCAGCACCCAAATGGTAGCTTCCAATCATCTATAATGAGATCTGGTGCCCTCTTCTGCCATGCAGGAATATATGCATACAGAACAGTCTATATAATAAATAAATCTTTTTAAAAGACAGAAAAAGAAAAAAGAATTTTAAACTGCCAGCAAATCAGGACTAGAAAGAAACTTCCCAACCTTATAAAAAGAGTCATGTGGGACCAACAGCAGCAATGCTACTGGTAAAATGACAACAGGAAGAAGGCTAAGGTGCATATTCACATCACTGATACTCAATATTATTCAAGAGACTTTTGCCAATGCAATTAGACAAGGAAAAGAAAATCAACAATGGCACCCAGAACACAAAAGTAAGCCTTTATAGTAAGATGAAAAAAAACATGATTGACAAATTATAATGATGTGTAAAGCGATCGTCTATGTAGCAAATCTGGTAAAAATCTCAAAAAGAAAAGAATAGAGAGAAAAAGAGAGGAGGAAGGAAGGAAGGGAAGAGAAGAAAAAAGGCAGACTGGCAAGATGGCTCCGTAGATAAAGGAACTTCCCACCAAGCCTGATACCCAAGCTCAATTCCCAGAATGTGCATTGTGGAAAGAGAGAAGTGATTACTGCATGTCATTCTCTGATGACATGCTAAGCATGACATCCCCCCACCCCACCCTCCCAAGAAAGAAAGAGAAGGAAGAAACAAGTGACGATAACTACTTTAGGAAGGCTGTAGGATACAAAAACAAGTTACAAAAACCAGAGGCTGAAGAGATGGCTCAGCAGTTAAAGGCACTCTTGCTCTTGTAGAGGACCCAGGTTTGATTCCAAGGTTATGGTTGGTCCTTAATTCCAATTCCTGGGGATTGGATGCCCTCTTCTGAACTCCACGAGTACCATGGATGCACACAGTACTTACATACAGGCACAGTCATACACATAAAACAAATTTAAAAAAATCAGTGAAGACTTAGAACAAATTCCAAAACGAGTAGAAAGCTATCTGGCTTGATGGTTCTGCCTATTTCACACTCCAGTATCAAATTAATAAAAACTATGACAACAAAGCATGGTGTACCATAAACTCCTCTATGACAAAACCTGACATAAACTGATAGGAGCAATTTGCCTACAATGAGAATATTAAAGAGACATAGCAATATATTTGACTACAGAAAATTTTTCTCAACCCCTCTGGGAGCATCCCATGATACAAGCTCATGCCCTGAGTCATCTTTCAGAACCTGAAGAATTGTGAAGTTGTTAAGACCTTCCTCCTATTCCTTTAAGACAGCTTGGATCCCAATGACCCAAGTTCAGGAAACTCATTTAAATAATATATGCAAAATACTACAGATTTCTTACTGTCTCAATTAAAAAAAAAAAGTAAAATACCACATTAAGCCTAAAAGGAAGAAATCTATGGCTTACAATTACACTGGTTATTCTTTTTTTTTTCTTCAAAATTTTTTTAAATTTTAAATAGCTTGTTTTACATGTCAATCCCAGTTCCCTCTCCCTCCCCTCCTCCTGCACCCCCCACCATCCCTCCCATCCTCCCACCCTATTGCCAATTCCCCCCCTATACACTGGTTATTCTTATTCCTTTCTGGGCCAGAGAGCAGAGAGAATGAGCTGTTCTGCACAGACAGTGGCTGCCCACACTTTCTGGTTTTTCATCCTGGGTTCTGTGTGGCCTGGGTTAGCGTCCTACTTTATACAAATCTCCCCCTCTTGCCAATCAGGACCACCTCCCACCAGAAAGGGCCTCTTGGCCGCCCGGCCAGGTGGGTATACAGAAGGGCCCCACTAGCCCCTTCTATAGGGCAGCCCTCCCAGCTCCCCTATAGTTCACATTACTGTAACTGTCCCACCCCAAGCTGCCTCTTCCTTCCAGTATCTGAACATAAGTCTTAACTTTCCTCCACATGAAAGGAAACCAGGTCTGCCTCTTCTCCTTCTCGGTTTGTGAATTGGATCCAGGGTCTCATACATGTTAAGCAAGAGCTATATCTCTGAGCTATATCTCCAACCCTTTTTACTTTTGTTTGTTTGTGGTTTATTTTTCTTTATTTGGAGACAAGGTTATTCTGTAGCTTTGTAGCCTGTCCTAGAACTACAGAGATCTGCCTGCCTTGGCTTCCCGAGTGCTGGGATTAAAGGTGTGCACCACCACAGCCTGGCCCTTTTCACTTTTTGAGACATCATCTTACTAACTGGCCCAGGTTGACCTTGAATTCTACCTAGGTCAGGCAGACCCTGAAGTTGGGATTTTTCCGGCCTCAGACTCCCAAGATGCTAGGATTATAGGCCTGTGCCATCAGTCCAGGGTTGAATCTCCTGAAAAATCAAGGTCACTGCCTGGTATCTTCAGAATGAACAAACTGATCTGGCATCATCTTCGTCATTCCGACAGATGAAAGGGTACATCACAACATACCATGCTGTTAGTGGAGGTACTAAATCCATTTCTGAAGGAAAAAGTGCCAGAAGTCTTCTCACCAAAGCACATTCAAATCTGTTGATGTCCACAGTAGAGAAAATCATAGGACAAAGCTACTGCCAAAACATCCCCTCTGCCCTTCCATAGTAAAGAACAATGAACAAGTTCCCTGCCCCCACTAAGCATGAATGGCACCGACAACTTCAATAGGGTGATTCTCCAATACTGAGAGCTACTTTAGACTTGGTCAAGCCACTCTTCCCTGAAGCTATTTGGCAGAGCGTTAACTATGCTTGGCAGGTAAACTTCACAGCTAACGAAGCCGGGCACACTCCAGGGTAATGGATGGGGGAAAAAAAGGCACAGTGGCCAAAGATATGGCTCAGAAGTGAAGAGTATTTGTTGCTCTTGCAGAGGCTAGAGCAGCATGTGCTGCCCAGCATGCACACGGAGGTTAACAACTGTCCACTCAGTTCTAGGAGATCCAATGCCCTCTTCTGGCCCCAGCAGACAATACACACGGAGGATGCCCAGAGATACAGCCGGCACCCACACACAGGGGAAAAAAAATAAAACAGAGGGGGGGGGAGGGAGAGAGAGGGAAGGAGGGAGGGAGGGAGGGACAGACAGAAATCACAGAAGAGAGAACAGGATTCCACACATACCAGTGACAGATCCTGTGTGAGGAACAGAAAGGAGGTTCAGGAAGCTACAAACTAGACTGATTTCAGGACACACGACTATGGCATTGTTTATCAAGCAAGGTTCTTAATGTTTACAGCTACTGGCTTTGCTTCCTGCAACTTTTAAGATGTCACATACAGAAAGATTCAAGAGGTGAGGCAAACACTAAGCCATACGAGAAAACGAGACTACAAGGCCCCACAGTCTCCCTCACCAAGCAGGGGGATTGTTGCGAACTATAGGGATCCCAAGAACCCTGCCATCTCAAGACAGTCCCCTAGGTGCAACAGCAACCCGAGATATGATACAAAGAATAATTAGCGTATGACCCGGGAGTGACTGGGCTCACCTCCTGACTCCACCTTTCAACCTTTTGAACTTTTTTTTTAATACGCCCCAGTCACAGCCTTAGCCCCAGACAGAGGTGGTCCCTCCAATCCCAGGCCTCCTTGACCGGAAAACCACCTGCTAGCATGACCCTAGTACTAACTCCACCCTCCAGGAAGTGTTTAATCAGGACGCAGCCTACCCTCAGCAATCATTTCCAAAGGTCCTTACCCACAGGACCCTGTGGTCACCCTTCCTTGCCAGGCCCCACCCCGACCTGACTCACACCCCAGCAGTGTCCCTTGCACAGCGATGACCTGATCCACATGCCAGCAGTGACTATTCCCACCGGCCCTGCCCACAGAGATAACTCCCCGCGGCCCTGCTCGGACCCACACCACAGTAGCGATTCTCCCGGGTCCGGGCTTGACTCATAGGATCCCGGACACGATCCTTTAGCTTCCCCTGCCCCCAGCGGTGACCCTCGCGAGCCCTGACTCGAGCCACACCCCAGCAGCGACCCTCCCCAGCCGCTCCTGTCCCCCCCCCTCCCCGCGGCCTGGCGACGCCTCACCTTCGGCTAGGACCCGCCGCACCCGCAGACGCAGCTCGCCCAGTTCCACCGTCTGCCCCACGAAGTCACTCTGGTCACGGCCCGCAGCTCCGCCGAGAGAACCAGGGCCGGCCAGGAAGTCCAGCGCAGACTGCAGCAGGGACATGGCGGCGGCCACTCGGCGGCAGCGGGAGCCAGGCTCCGGCTCCGCACTGCCGGGTCAGCAGCTGCGGGAGAACCACCCGGCCATCTTCCGCCCGCGCCGTGACGTAAACCCGAGAGCAAGTAGCGTCGCGACGCCGCGGCCCCGCCCCCGACGCAGCAAGCGGAAGGGCGCGCGTTTCCGCAGAGGCGGCGGCACGCGCAGGCGCAGAGGCTTCGGTCCCACGGTGGGGGTCCAGCTGCGGAGAGGAGGGGGGTGGGCGGTCTCCATCTGGCCCTCACCTCGTCCCGTCGCTTCCGCTGGCTGGAGTTGCGACCGCTCTTGCCGGGTCCAGGCTCGGTGACTCCGGGGGAGGGGAGGGGGCGTCTCGGGACGTTGGGCGCGTGCTGCGGACAGCCCCAGAGCCCGCCGCTCGCGCCTGACGCTTCAAGGTAAAAGCGAGCCTGGAGCCCACCCTAGGGTCCCTTAATACCCGGTTGGGAAGAGGAGGTTATCTGTCAGGCGAGCACCCAGTCGCTGTAAACCACAGACACCGTCCTTATGTGGTTTACATAAGGCTTGGGGGAGAATGAACTAGTTGCCAACGTTAAAACTGAAAAAAAACGTTAATTTTAAAAGAAACAAGGCTTCACCACGTGTGTAGAAAAAACACCTGGCGGTACTGGACCCAGAATCCTGTGTGATGTCAGCCACCTAGAACTGCCCGCTTCAGGTGAGACAAAGTCTTGGGATCGCCTTACCTCTGTGATTCCTGAAGCTACATGAGTTTGCAGCCCCTTGTGTAGAAGTATGTGTTTTGGGACTGAAAAGTTGACCCTCAGAGCTCACGTCAGCATCTTAAGACCTTCCCGGGATTGCACGTTATTAAAGATAACCCTCGGGAACTAACTGCCTGCTCTCTTAAAAAGTCAAGTAGGAAAGAAATGAGAAGAGGGGTCGTTAGCCACCGTGACGTAGGCGGTAGGTGAGCACCGGGTTTCATGAAAATGGTGAGGTGGAAGCTATGGACCACACGTGGCGTAAATAAAGAGCTGATGAAGTAGAGAGGGTACCTGGAGGTAACTGAGGAGGTTTGTGGAGCAGAGTGTGGGAGCTAAAAGGGCATTGTGGTGTTGACATGTTCGTAGGCCCAAAAGCCAATGGGAGTTAAGCCTTCCTGGTACAGCAGGGAAGAGCAGTATTATCCTGTAGAAGAGTTAGGACAGTCAAGTCACTTCCAGATGTGGGATATTTAGTGTTTGGCATAGAAAAAGGTACTTTTCTGTAAGAAAAGCACTTCTAAGAGGCAGAGAGGAGGAAACAGGGCTTGCCGTTGCAGGTAACTTCATGTTTTTAATGAAGTGAAGTTGAAGGAGTCTGTTGGTGGCTTCAGATGTCACTATACAGAAGGAAAAGAAATCTGAAAGCAAGAAAAAAAAAGTAGGGAGTCCAAGGCTTAAGCAGAGTTCAAGAGACCCAAAACAGCTATTATGAAAATACCTCATAAATAATTCACTGGAATGCATAATGGAATTTGAGGTCGTAAACCCCTGCTGGCATGACCTAGGATACGTTGAAAATTCCTTTTCTTTTCCTTTTGTTTTGTTTTTTTGAAACAGGCTTTCTTTGTGTAGCCCTGGCTGTCCTGGAACATGCCGGCCTAGAACTCACAGAGATCCGCCTGCCTGTGCCTTCAGAGTACTGGGACTAAATAGTGTGTGCCATTACCACCCAGCGGTGGAAATTTCTAAATCCCATAATTACTTTGGAAACCAGAGTCTTCGCAGACTAATTATTTCATAAATATAGATCACCTTTATGGCATTGTAGTAGATGCCATACTGAGAGCATCTTATGTCTTCTCTCCTGATCTCAGCTCATGTATGGGCATATACAAATAAAGAAACTGAATCTATGCTCCTACTCCACCAACACATTCTCTTGTAGTAGATTTCATAGTAAAGGGTATTGCCAAAAGAGTAAGAGAATTATCTTATAATGATGAAGGGATGGTGTCCTCAAAAGGATATATCAGGGCTGAAGAGGTGGCTTGGTGGTTTAGATTACTTGTGCTTGCAGAGTGAGTGCTGGGAATTGAACCTGTGTCTTCTGCAAGAGCAATGCAACAAGTGTTCTCTTTTTGGTTTTTCAAGACAGGGTTTCTCTCTATTGCTTTGGAGGTTGTCCTGGCACTCGCTCTGTAGACAAGGCTGGCCTCGAACTCACAGAGATCCGCCTGCCTCTGCCTCCCAAGTGCTGGGATTAAGGCATGTGCCACCAACGCTGTGCTGCAACAAGTGTTCTTAACTACTGAGCCAACTCTTCAGTACCAATTATGTTATGAGTAATATGGTAAAGTATGCATGCATGCATGCATGCATGCAAAAAAAAACGGACTTGTTTTTAGATAAGATTATAAACATGGGTTCTTCCCTACATACATGCACACACCACACCATCTTGTGTGTGCTGCAAGCATATACATATGTGTACACCAGAAGTCAACCCTGGATTTCTTTTATCGTTCTCCATCTTTGTTTGTTTGCTTGTTGTTTGTTTAGATGCAGCATTTCTCACTGAACCTGGAGCTCATGGCGTTGCTATGCTGGCTGGCCAGTGAACCACCAGGGTCCTCTCTTTTCAGTGCTGGGGTACAGGAGTGTGCTCCCACACCTGGGTTTTATGTGGGTGCTGAGGATCTGAACCCAGATCCTCATGCTTGCATAGTAAGCACTTTGGTCACTTGGCCATCTTGCCTCCCTATTTTAGTCATTTTTAAGTGTACAGTTTAGAGGTACTAAGCACATTCACGTTCTTGAACAGCCATCACCATTACAGAACAATTCATCTTGTAAAACCGAAGTTTTGTTCTCATTTAAACACTACTCCATTGTCCTAGCCTCTGGACATTTTACTTTGTTTATGAGTTTGACTGCTCCAGGGACCTCATTAAATGGAATCTTGCTAATTGGTGTTTATATAACTGACTTGCTTCAGTTAGCATAAAATGTTTAAGATAACATCCGTGTTGTGTGTCAGAACTTCCTTTTTAAAGCCGAACAATAGTCTGTTGTAAACAGATCTATATGTATATAAGGATACTACATTTTATTTGATGTTTGTGATTATTCTGAATAAGTTTCTATGAGCACTGGTACACAAATACTTTAAAAGTCTCTGCTTCTCGGCTTTCCATTCTTTTGAATACCTAGAAGTGAAGTCACTTGACCCTGTAGTAATCCTATCTTTTTTTGATCACCTGTCATATTGTTTTCCACAGTAACTGCATCATTTGATGTTCCCCCCAGCAGAATACAAGGGTTCCAACTTGCCAACAACCCTATCAGCACTGCTCATCTCCATCTTTATTACAGTTATCCTAGTAGGTTATGTCTCATCATGGTCTTAATGCAACACAATGATGTTCAGTCTCTCTTAATGTGCTTATTGGTCAGTGACAACTTCTTTGGCAAAATGTGTACACCCTTTGTTCGTTTTAAAAATGCCATTGGGTTTTTTTATTTATTAAACTTGAATTTTATTTAGGTTTGATTTTTAACAAGTGTGTCCAGGAGAGAGCCCACAGGAAACAGTGAAGCCCATGCAGCAGGTAGGGCCCTCCCAGATGCCTGAGGAAGGAGCGTGTTTCCTCCCTTTTCTTCCTCTCTTCACTGCCCCTGCAGGGGCTTGGGAAGAGACAGAGGCAGGGAAGTGGACTGGTCCCAGTCTGTATAAGTGGTCCTTGGGGTAAAGGCTTATGAAGAGCAAGGACTCCGACTCAGACCTGGGCTAAATGGGAGAAAGGGAACAAAGACCATTTTCCAGAATCCACAGATTTCTGGATCCGAACTGAATTTAAAAGAAGTGGGAGGGAAACCAAACCGCGAGTAGCACCCACTCCCTTTCTCCTACCAGGGCTGCAAGGGAAAGAGGCAGGTCGGTGCACCAAGACCATGTCTCCCCTCATTCCTGGTCAGGGAGGCTAGGTGAAAGGCAGGGTCTCCCCAACAGTTAGAAAGAGTGAGAAAACAAAAATATATTGTATAGGAGTTCAGGTAGGGGCTGGAGAGATGACTCAGATGTTAAGAGCACTGACTGCTCTCCCAAAGGCCCTGAGTTCAATTCCCAGCAACCACACGGTGGCTCACAACCATCCGTAATGAGATCTGGTGCCCTCTTCTCAGACATACATGCAGGCAGAATACTGTATGCATAATAAATAAATAAATCTTTAAAAAAAAAAAAAAGAGGAGCTGGAGAGATGGCTCAGAGGTTAAGAGCACTGACTGCTCTTCCAGGGGTCCTGAGTTCAATTCCCAGCAACCACATGGTGGTTTACGACCATCTACAATTCAATCTGGTGCCCTCTTCTGGCATGTAGGCAGAACACTGTACATGTGATGAATCAATAAAAAAAAAATCAAAAAAAAAAAAAAAAAAAAAAGAGTTCAGCTAAGGGCCCAGCCAGAGCAGAACCATGCTGGGGAAGGGGTCTCTGTAGGCTCTGCTGCCACCACTGCCACCCTATCCTGGGAGCCGGTTATTTTGCCATGGCCTTGATTGCAACAGCTGCCTCATCTGTCATGGCAGACTTAGGATCTTTTCTCCACAAATATACTTCTCAGTCTCCTTGGCAAGGTCTCCCTCAGGCAGATAAAAGTCCTCATACTTTTCCCACTGTTCTGGAGCAGGTATAGGTACCCGTCCCAGATGCTCGTCAACTAGGAGTAGGGACATCCTTGTTAGGAGTTGATAGGCAGATATCTTTATATTTCATCTCAGTGAGTGTATCACTGCCAACCAGGTGGACCTTGGAATGATCATGATTGCCAGTCTCTGAAGCAGACATTTTGACCATTTTACATGGCTGGTCTTTGAGTACCACAGAACTTTTTGTTTGTTTGTTTATTTGTTTTACCAAGACAGGGTTTTTCTGTATTGCTTTGGAGCCTGTCCTAGAACTCACTCTGTAGACCAGGCTGACCTTGAACTCACAGGGATCACCTAAGACTATCAGAAAACACAGATACTTAATATTCATAACAATAACAAATTTACCATTATCAAGTAATAATGAAAATAATTTTATGGTTGGGGACTGCCATAATATGAGGAACTATATTAAAGACTCACAGCATTAAGAAGGTTGAGAACCACTGATATAAAGAGTGAGCCTTAAGTGAAAGTAAACCAGAAGTACAACCAAAAGCCATGCTGCTACCCATGCCTGCCCTTGCCAGCCAGGCACCACCTGCTGCTTGTCCTGGAGCTAACAATAAACCTGTTCTTGTTTGTGTTTTTGTTTGTCATACATATTTTCATTATCACAACAAGGAAGATGACATAGAACTTACTTTCTGTAGCTGCTTTTTCTTGTTTCTTCTCAGCATTGTGTTTTATTTGTATCCCTCACAACATTAATGGCTTAATAATTCTCATATTTTTATTTTTTTGTTGTAACAAACCTTGCTTCAGTGCAGAGTCTAGTCATGCCCCTCAGATCCAGCTGCTTCCCTGTAAGGGTGTTCAATGTACCTCTAGAGTTGTTACTGACTGCCAGTTTAAATATGACCCCTGTTGCTCCCTAATATAGCCAAGTGTCCTCCTCACATTCTAGCTAGCTTTTGACTAAGGATCTTTACCATTCTAATTGGTACCTCATTGCTTTCCTTGATTACTAGTAAAGTTGAAATTTTTTTCTTTCTTTTGCAGTGCTGGGGATAGAACCCAGGACATCATATGTGTAAGGTAGGCTGTCTCCCACTGAGCTGTACTTGGCCTGAATGCCTTATACATATTTTTTTGCAACTTTTATTTTCCTATCTGGAGATTGCTAGTTGCCTTCTTTGACCCCTTTGTTTTTATGCACCATCTTGGTGAAGACTTGTGCTTGATTGCTAGGGCCACATGCCACATCGCCCCCTTGCCTCTGATCATGTGGTTCCTGATGTTAGGTCAACAGCATCCTCCTCAGAGCAAGCCAGCCATACTTTATGTTAAAGGAATCGTGCTTGTGACCACCCTTCCTAAAGCTTGACCTTTCAAGTCCCTGGCTCCTATTTTCCCATCCTCCCAGAGAGTGCCACTACCTCCTACCCTTGACTGTCCCTTTTTCCCCTAACTGTGCTGGTGACTCCATAGTCTTGCATTCTTTACAGCCTCCTTTTCTCACCTCTGCTGCCTGAGGCTGTCCTTCCCATGTCTTAGTACACGTGTCCAAAGCAAGGTACATTTATGTTGTTGGGCTGGTTGGCCTGCCCTCCTGCACCCAGGCACTAACTTCCGTCTTATAGTCTCGGGACCTGCTTTCCCAGTGTACCCTGCTTGGGCAGACATATTCCACCTTACCCCTGGTCACAGCTTCATCCCTCTGACCATCCTTGCCACACTCCTATCCTCTCTCCCATGATTGCAAATGGGGACTTTGAAAACACTTCCCTGTGGCCTACCCTTCCATATCCTATAGCTGCTGAGTGGTTCTCAGTATTTGTGCCGCTGGCTTCAGTATAGAATACAGATGGATTCCAAGGCTGTACTTTAGTCCTTTGCTCCTGTGGCACAAATATCTCCCCTCCCCAGAGAATGAATGGTTCATCTGCCATCTCATTTGTCTACCCAGAATTGTTTTTGAACAACCTAAAAACATCCCAGACCCTGCTGTGAGCTAAGGTAGTAGCAACCCTCAGCAGCATTATCTTTAGCCAGGATACATGGTCCAGCCTGACAAAGCAGCTTGTAGGAGAAACTTGGAGTCAGATTTCAGGCCTTCCTTGGTACCATGGTATGCTGAGCATATACCCTGTATCATCAGTGCTTTCCCACTGAGACAGAGAATGTATCATCCCAATCACAGAGCTCACTGATGAGTCTGATGCTGATACTCTTAGCCTGTGGCTGGGAATCTGAAGGGGTTACCTTGTGAAATGTCTCTTTCTTTGTCTCCATACCTAGCCCTTGTCTCTACATTGAAATGACTGAAGTCCACAGGCTTGGCCACCCGGGACATCCCACTGATACGCTGAGAGCTACACTTCTTCCCAGGCTGCTGTGACAACTTGGTGGCCCCACCATGTCCAAGCCCCAGACTGAGGAGCAGGCAGTAGATTCTGAGGGAGACTCATCCCTGCACAGGAGAGACGAGGAAGGGACCCAGAGCTCCCACCGCATGCTGGGCTTCAGTGATGCACTGCTATCCATCATTGCCACTGTCATGGTCAGTGTGGGGCCCACCTCAAACCCACCCCTGCCTTCTACAGCAGCCTCAGATGCCCAAGCCTTTCATGAAGGTGGGGCTGCCCAGCAATCGTCAAGAGCCCTCATACCTCTGCCTCTGAGGATCCACAACCCAAGACGTATCTCTTGGTTATTTTTGTCTTTATTCCTTTAGATCCTGCCTGTGACCCACACAGAGATCTCACCAGAACAGGTAACAGGAACAGACTGGTTTGTACAGTGAGTCAATAAGAAAACCCAATCTGGACTTGGAGAGCCAACCTCCCAATCTGCAGGCAACAGAGCCCAAGGCAGGGTATTTGTTGAGAGGGCAGGACATCTGTGTTTCCTCCTGGCAGGATATGCACTTAGAGTCAGGGCGGGGGGGGGTGCCCAAGCACAGGGTCTTGCAAAGGAGACATTTCTATCTAGGTGGACAGGTAGTGATATCCTCCATGTCCACCCCACCAACCATCCTGTGTGGGTAGCAAAGAGCCTTTTAAAAGTGTTTCCATTTATATCCAACTTTATGGGTTTTGGGGATGGAGGGGGCTTTGAGTCAACAACATGTAGCTCCTCAGTGAAGCAACTCTGAGACTTGGATAGCACTGAGCTGCCTTTCTTGGTTTCATCCATGTAATTGGCATGCCACCATACAAGCCTCAAGGAGGCAGGTTGCAGCAGCTCTACTTAGCTGGTCCCACAACGGTGAGGTGTGCTTCTAGCCATACCTGCAAGCTGAGGTAGATCTTTGGGGAGGCCCCAGCACTACTGAGGTTTTTCTTTTGAGCTATCATTACAACACTGGTGTAGTGTTATGAAAAATTAAACTTTAGAGACCTGAGCATCAGACTATACTTGTACTGTGCTTAAAGCTGTTCTGATGAGAAAGTGTCTGCTGGTGACTCGTCTACATAGCAAGCTCCAGCCTAGTCAAGGTTACATACTGAGAACCTGTCTCCAAAAACCTAAAAAAAATTAAAAAGCATAGTGAACAGATACTTAGTGTTTGCCTAGCCTACATAAATGAGGCTGTAGTTTTAAAATTTGTTGTCTTTGTTGTTTTTCGAGACAGGGTCTCACTGTATAGCCCTAGCTGTCTTGGAACTCACTAAGTAGACCAGGCTGACCTCAAACTCACAGAGATCTGCCTGCCTCTGCATCCCAAGTACGGAATTAAAGGTATGTGGCACCATGCCTGGCTTCTGTCCAATTTTTAAAAAGAAGACTTAACTTGCAGGCCTGGTGGCAAATTGCCTATGATCATTAGCTGCTCTGGAGATTGAGGCAAAAGGTTTCCAAGCTCAATGCCAGCATGGGCAATTTAGACTTTGTCTCAAAATAAAAAGTAATACAAGCCCCGGTGTGGGAGTTTTGTGCCTTTAATCCTAGTTCTTGAGAGGCATAGGCGGTAGATTTCTGTGAATTTGAGGCCAGTCTGGTCTACACAGTGAGTTCCAGGACAACCAGGATTATTGTAGAGAGACCCTATCTCAAAAACAGACAAAAAATCTGGGTGGGGTGGTGCAAGCCTTTAATCCCAGCACTCACAAAGGCAGGTGGATCTCTGTGAGTTTGAGGCCAACCTGGTCTACAAAGTAAGTTCCAAGACAGCCAGGACTTAACAAAAAGAAACTCAGTCTTTTTTTTTTTTTTTTTTTTTTTTTTTGGTTTTTCGAGACAGGGTTTCTCTGTATTGTTTTGGAGCCTGTCCTGGAACTCGCTCGGTAGACCAGGCTTGGTCTCGAACTCACAGAGATCTGCCTGCCTCTGCCTCCCAAGTGCTGGAATTAAAGGTGTGCGCCACCACTGCCTGGCTTTTTTTTTTTTTTAAAGAGACTCAGTCTTAACAAACAAAAAACCCAGAAGTGAAAAGCGATTTGAGAGTATAGCTCAGTGGTGGAATACTTGCTTTGTATGTATGAGGCCTTGAGTTCCATCCCCAGTGCTGGTGGGAGGGAAAGAAGGGAGAAAAAATAAAAACATACAAACAAATGTTTGCAAGGGCATTTGATACCATGATTCTGAAATGAAATTTCAAGTCATTGATCCAAAGAAATACTTGGACAAGAAGAACCAACAAAGCCAATAAACCAGTCGGTTTATTGAGTATATTTAAAAGGTATAAAGTTCTTGCCTCTGAAGATTGAGGTTTCTTTTCAGTGCACTCGTTTCTGTTCTAGCCATGACCCCTTGAGTGGTGTCTATGACTGACCCATGCTGCTTGTAATCTCACTGGGGACGTTTAGAGTGTCCCTGCCTGTGACTGTGCTAAATCTAAACTTGCTATAGCCTAGATGTCTATGTGCCTCCAGAATTCACATGTTGGAACTTAAACCCAAAGTGAACACTTTAGAAGGCAGTTAATGGTCCTCTAAAAGGACTGATGCCTTTTGTCCTTCATATCCCTTATATTGTGATTGTTGAGATGCTAGACTCTCCCCAACAGCAAACCCGCTGACAGCCAGGACCTTTTTCCACTTGAGGTGATGGTGTCAGCCTGTGACACCCAAGGAATCTATTGCTTTAGGAAAACTGCCTGCAAAAGACACCTTTATGGGTGGAGGTGGGATAAGTGTGGTAGAAGTTAGCCTGGGAACAGGCACAGACTGTGTACACTTTGAGGCTGGGAAACTGCCTAAATGTCTCTGTGCATTAGGGTAAGTCTTGGTGTTGAAATGACCACTGTTGGGTCACATGTGTTACTTTGTTCTAATGGCAGTGTTCTTTTCATACAGCAGTTTGACAAAAGTATACAGAAACTTCTAGCAACTAGGATTGCTGTCTACCTGATGACATTTCTAATCGTAACCGTGGCGTGGGCAGCACATACCAGGTAAGGAGTCAGACCTTTAACACAAGGTTCTCATTGTCATGATTTGCTCAGGGTAGGCAAAGGAGGGACAGGAGGCTTCCTTAGGTAGAGCTGGGCATGTCAGAGTTGCTTTCCTGGCTGCAGATCAGCATGTTCAAAGGAAATACTCTTCAGATAATGCTGGGAAAACATCAACAGCAGGCTTCTGAGGCCCAAGGAACCTGTGAGGAACTTTATACATCTGTTCTGCATCCTGCTTTGGGTGCTCATTTACACACATGGTCTTAGTACCATCAAGTAGGCAGCAGAACTCCTCTTTGGGATTGCAGCTCCCTCTATTTGGCATATTAAGACTTCAACCCAAATGAGCCTGTGTCATGACATGAACTAGAGGTAGCTTCTAGAGTGAGAATGCAATTTCAGCTGAATCCAGTCCAAGAAAAGGCCATGTGCTCAGAATTGGATGGGTGGTACCCTGAGCCACAGTCAAAGACATCGGAGAAAGCTTCGGGATTCTTGGCAGCCTATGCTTATTTCCATTTTGCTTTTTATTTACATTGTAGTATCTCCACATAAAATCACCTCTCTGTTAAATAGCAACTTCCAACAGTGTAGTGTATGAAATCTTTAGGGGGAAAATTGAGAAAAGAATATTCCCTTTCTTCCGAATGGATTTTAGACATAATTAAAAATCAAGTGTATTGTACAATAGAGTTCTAGCTCCATATCCCCAGAGGCTGATTCCCATTAAGTGTGGCTGCACAAAGCTCACAGGACAGGTGGCCACAGCCACCCTGCTAGTCCTGCTGTTAGCAGGACCTCCCTGGACAGTTAAAAATCCCCTACCTCTGTGCAGAAGTCTTCCTCAAGGCTTTCTATGAAAACATTGTCCCTAAGAGCTACCAACTGGACAAGTGATTTCTATAAACTGTTCCTTAAATAATGGGAAGAATGTGTGGAAAAGATACATGCTTCCCCACATAAGCTATTGAGTGTTCTGACTTTCATAGACTAGATAATGTTTATAGTTTTTTAAAGTTTAGTTTTATTTTGTGTTAGTGTATGCACGTGTGCGGGTGTATGCGTGCCAAAATCAGAGGATAGCTTGTAAGATTTGGTTCTCTCCTCCTGTCATGTGGGTCCAGGGATCAAATTCAGGTTCTCAGACTTAATAGGAACCTTTGCCTACTAAGTGTTCTCATCAGTCCCACTAGGTAGTATCTTAAATTTGACCAAAAGTGACACCTTCAGTGATATTTTAACTAGAAAATACTGTGGGAGGTGCATTTGAATTTTAATATTATTGGAGCCATATTTGAATGATGGCCCATCTTCTCTTTTTCCTAATTTTAGATTGTTCCAGGTTGTTGGGAAAATAGATGATACACTTGCCTTGCTCAACCTGGTGAGTTATTGGTGTTTAGGTATGATTTAGCCTGGATTCTGCCCATTCCTGGAAGCTCCTCAGCCTATGGGGTCAGTCTGTCCAGGACAGGGGCACAGGCTTCTTGGGTCTAGCCCCACATTCCTATAGTATATTACTGCCTTCCTGGAATGTCCCGTACTCTCCAGGCTCTCTGGTGACTGTGACCTTCTTCCTTTTCTTTCACGATAGGCCTGTATGATGACCATCACCCTTCTGCCCTACACAGTGAGTAAAGATAAAATCTCTGCACACCTCACTGAACACATCGGTGTGTGGTAGTTCTCAGAAGTGCAGGTTCAAGACCTGGACTATAATTACAGATGGGAGAGAGTCCCAGGGAACTGGTGGTTGGGACTGAGTAGAGAAAGGAGTTAGGGCTACTGGAGGCAGAGGCCACCGCGAGTGTCCCTCATCCTCCTTGCTCCCACCTGTCTCTCCATAACCCCCACTAGCCGATGAATAAGCATTTAAAATTCCAATGTAGGCTGTAATGCAGATAATGCAGATCTGAGGGATTTTACATGTTAGTGATGCTGGCTTGAAAAGCATAAAGCAGTGAGTGGCATTTCTCTGATGGAGAGCTGAGTGTACCCATCCCCAGCCCCATACCGCTGTCCCCACACTAGGGCAGTCTTCTTCCCAGTGCTCAGTACAGAGGCAGGGAGCTCATTCTACACTACCTCAGAGCCTAGCTCTGATAGCCTTTGGGGGGGTTTTGGGTTCTTTTGACAGTTTTCTCTAATGGTGACGTTCCCTGATGTGCCCTTGGGTATCTTCCTGTTCTGCGTGTGTGTGATTGCCATTGGATCTGTGCAGGTAGGGGCATAGGATATGGATGTGTGTTTGCCATGGGGTGTGCAGGCTAAGTGCCAATATCCTGATCTACATCTTGAGTAGCCCAGTCTTACCCATAAATGCACCCAGGATTTGGCATGCCCAGGGCTTCACAGTCTCAGAATAGGATGAGAGTTTCTACCCTCTTCTTGACCCCAGCCTCTCAGAACATCCCAGGGTAGGAGGCTATCAAGGAGGACCCTCTTGCTCCTAATCCCTAAAAAGGTGTATGTTGGCTCAAGGGTTAACTGGTGCTCCCTCTACCTGCTCTTGGTGCCCTATAGCCTGTTTTGTTTGTTTTGTTCTGTTTTGACCACAGGCGCTGATTGTGGGGTATGCTTTCCACTTCCCACACCTGCTAAATCCACAGATCCAGTGCTCTCCACACAGGGCCCAGTCCCGGCGGCACATCCTGCGCCTCGTCCTCCGTGGCCCAGCGCTCTGTTTTGTCGCAGCTGTCTTTTCCCTCTTCTTCTTCCCCTTGGTGAGCACTGGGAATCTCAGAGGAAGTCTTAGCGCAGTCAAAAAAAATCAAGGATAGCTAACAGGAGAAAGAACAGGCAGTGCTGAAACAATTTTTTTTAGAGCAGATTGTAGGAGCTGGCGTGAGCAGGGTCAAACTTAAGTACTGTGAATGTACACTGAATTTTATATTTTTGGTTGTGAGCCTAGCCTTTAACGACTGAGCCATCTCTCCAGCCCATACATTGAATTTTAAACCAAAGTATTCTAAGAATTGGGAAAGTAACAAATGCTAGTTACTTTAAATGTTTGGTAACAGGCATAATGAGCACCCTCACACATGCATATAAACAAAAAAATGATGAAATGTAATTTAAATTAATGAATAAGCATTTCAAGAACATTCCAGGTTTTAAACAGATGAACTGATGAAAGCCTGTGAGCACTGCAGATGCCATCCTTACAGCCTTGGGAGGTCATCTTCTTGTGTAGGTGGGATCCAGAGAACCCAAAGACTTACAAACTAGAACAGAACTGTGTATGGGAAGCATCTAGCCAACCAGATCTTGACTGGAGAGGTCTCAAGTGAAGTTTTAAGTCTATTCCCATGGGTTTCTTAGTTGGAATTCTTTTTTTTGTTGTTGTTGTTTTTTGTTTTTTGTTTTTCAAGACAGGGTTTCTCTGTATTGGAGGCTGTCCTGGAACTCGCTCTGTAGACCAGGCTGGCCTCAAACTCACAGAGATCCGCCTGCCTCTGCCTCCTGAGTGCTGGGATTAAAGGCGTGTGCCACCAATGTCCAGCTTAGTTGGAATTCTTATCTTTTGTTGTTGGGCTGTTTCCATTCTTTATGTATTCGGGATACTAAATTCTCACAAAGTACATGGCAAGTCTGCGTTTCTCCTTTATGATAGTCCTTCCTTTTGGGATTGTCCCCTTACATACAGTTCATTTCCATAAAGGACAGTTCTCTGGATTTTCCCTTTGTTGTTCCTGCCGCCCCTCCATCTATGGCAGAAGAGTGGGACCAGACTTCAGGTGTGAGTGTCCCCCATTCCCAGGGAAACACCCTGACCTGTTATTTCTTTTTGCAGTCATATGTGCTGATGGTGACTGTCATCTTCCTCCCTCATATCAGCAAGGCTACCACCTGGTGCAAAGACAAGCTCATGGGTAGGTGACCAGGCACAGCACTACAATAAGCATGTTGGAAGGTTTCACTGGATTTCAGGCTACTCCCAAGGAGTGGGAACAAGGCATCAGTGTATGATGACTCAGGGCTGGCCCTTCTGGGCTCAGCCCAGCTCTGGTGGTGAGTTTGCTGGGCCCTGGCTGCGTCCTGCCCCATAAACATCTTTGCATCATTTCCCCTTCTGGCCTATATATTCCTGGTCCTTGGAGAAGAGGGCAGTGATAGCCACACCGGCCTGACAGTCCCCCACCTAGGCTAGTTCCTTCTCTTGGCATGTCCACAGGCCACAGGGAGTCTCCAGCTCACAGTGTGGAGCCCTTCAGTATTGATCTGCATGCACCTCTCAGCAAAGAACGGGTGGAAGCTTTCAGCGACGGTGTCTATGCCATCGTGGCCACACTCCTCATCCTGGACATCTGGTGAGGACCCCAACTCTGCTGTTTTGGCCCATCTCCCAGGTTTTAGTATGTCTTTGAGTGTCTTGTCCTTAGGAACTCCAGAAAGGTATTACTCAGTACCAGCTTCCCCTTGGGTACCTGTAGATTTATGTAGGCCCCCTCTTCCCTAAAGGTCTCCCATCCAGTTGCTCTCAGCCTGAAAGCACAGGTGCTATCTGTCCTGGAATTACTCAGGCACCTCCCTCAGGCCTTATCTTCTTCCATACCTATATGGCTCTTCTATATGGCCTAGCTCTGATACAGTACTGTTGGAGCTCTAGTTTGGGTGCTCACTTTTATTTCTAAGTGTCTTCCCCCACCACCTTTTTTTTTAAAGCCTCTTGCCCCACTGAAGCCTGTGGTTCCTCAGTCATACTCCATTGCATTTACTTTATTAAACATGTTACAATTCTGGTTTTAGATGTTGCATCTAACACTATGATTCTGATAGTTTTGAGTAGGTTTTTCTACTATGATTTGTGAATTCTTATAAGCTAAAAGTAAATATTCATTAGTACCTGATTTCCTCAGGCCTTTTTGCTTCCATTCTGCAGCCAGGGCCAAAGGACTCACATTTAAGAGGCCATGGTTAGGGCAGGAAATTCTAGCCAAGAGAAGGCTGCCACCTCCTCTTCCCTGGAGTCTTACCTCTTATGACAGTCCTCAGGCTGGAGAAAACAGTGGGTACTTGGGTGTGCTGTCATTCATGTCCAAGTAATGGGTTCCCATCCCTAGACTCTATGCTCCTATTACAGCCTGCAAGATTCAGGATAGCTGTGGGGCTCTCTGTTTTTAGGTGTCCTACCCTCAGAAGGCTGGCCCTGGCCAATGAACCAGAACTACTTGTCAATTCCTGGCTGTCAGATAGGGCCACCAGTTCACAGAAAATATACAGGACTGGTTAAATTTGCATAAACTGTTTAGTATGCTAAATATATGTGGCACATAAGGAACATTTGTATGCTAAAGATCACACATCATTAATCTCAAATTCCCTTATGGTGCTTGGTCTACCCCTGTGGCTATTAAAAATGGCATCTGTTCATACTTCCCAGTGAGGACAATGTTCCGGATCCCAAGGATGTTCAAGAGAAATTCAGTGGCAGCCTCGTGGCTGCCCTGGGTGCATATGGGCCACAATTCCTGGCATACTTCGGCTCCTTCGCCACAGTGGGTCTGCTCTGGTTTGCCCACCATTCTCTCTTCCTGCATGTCCGGAAGGCTACACAGACCATGGGGTTACTCAACGTACTGTCACTGGCCTTTGTGGGTGGCCTCCCACTGGCCTACCAGCAGACCTCAGCTTTTGCCCGACAACCCCGTGATGAACTTGAGCGTGTGCGTGTCAGCTGCGCCATCATCTTCTTTGCCAGCATCTTCCAGTTTGCCATCTGGACTGCAGCCCTGCTGCGCCAAACAGAAACACTGCAGCCAGCTGTGCGATTTGGTGGGCAGGAGCATGCTTTCATGTTTGCCAAGCTTGCACTGTACCCCTGTGCGAGCCTGCTGGCCTTTGCTGCCACCTGCCTGCTGAGCCGGTTCAGCACAGCCATCTTCCACCTCATGCAGATCGCAGTGCCCTTTGCCTTCCTGCTGCTCCGTCTCCTTGTGCGCCTCACCCTGGCAGGCCTTCAAGTCCTGTGGGACCTCCGGCCAGAGCACCCTCAGCCAGGCCAGGGTGAACCCGAGGCACAGTCTCAGCTCTTGCCTGCCCCCTGCTAATGCCAAGGAAGCCACATGTGCCCATTCCAGGCACAATGTAAGGGGTCCTATGGGGATGGCTTGGTAGAAGTGTTGTGACCCGGGGCTATGGTTTTATTGACCTGAGTATTATGTACATTGTCAAATATCGAGATCTATTTCAAGAGTATGAACATTGTTCACATTTTGCAGTGAGGGGTTTCCTGGGAACAGTTTTATTGCTTTTACCCGTTTACTTTCCTCTTTACCCCCGTGCACAACACTGCCAAAAGAATTTACCTGTCTGACTAACCTGACTAAGCTGCATGGGGCCATCACTAAGGTCTTGTTTGAGGCAGTAGTGCCCAGCCAAGACGAGAAGACCATCCCTTTTCCTTGCTGTGACCTGCGTGTGGCCACACAGGCCACCCTTGTGCTCAAAGGCTTCGGGCGATTGAGTCCGGCTGAGGAGTCACAGAGCTCCCTGGTGGGACTGGCAGCTTATCTGCCAGTTCCCATACCAGGCGTTGGACAAAGACAAGAGGCAGCTACAGGACAGCAAAGCCCACAATGTATTTGGCCCAGATATAAGTTAGCTCACATTCAGGTAGTGATAAATTACACACAGAGACAGGACACACTCCACAAAGGACAGTCTCACTTAAATACAGAGGACATGCTACACTGACCATAATTTACAAACAGTTCCTCCAGATTGAAATAAAAGTGAAAAACTACGTCACAATTTCTTTGAACACAGAGAATGATGTAAACACGAGGAACATCTATACTGAGAACACAAATGGCTATCTGACGCACTTGTATGCACTTTTGGCAGAAGCAGGTGAGGGGGTGTGGCACAATGGTCCCTATGAAGCTGCCAGCCAGGTAGACCCCCCCCTTGGTTTACTCCATAGCCACTTCTGAAAGTGGCGCAAGCCCAGTGATAACAGACAGGAGGCTCAAGACCTATTTACTTGTTTGTGTGGGTAAGCATCACAGGATACTTTGCACACGGGTCCTCTCCCACCCAGGGCTAGCCCTCTTTTTCCCTTTTTACTCTTCCAGAGCAGCTTTAGCTCTATAGCCCACTCAGGTCTTGAACGTGCTCTTCTCTTGCTTTAGCCCCCAAGAAATGGATTACAGGCATGTACCACCAGGCTTAGCTAGACAGCTTGTTTTGGGGCATATTCCTCTGGGGTCTGAGGTGTGATGAATTCTTGGGTGCATGAAAGAGACAGCATTGTCTCATTCTGTGACCCTGATGCCCCCAGCAAGGCCTGGCCATCACAGCTGCCTTGGTGTGTGCAGGAGCCAGAGTAGAAGCTCTACATCTACAAGGTAGGGCTGCAGGCTGGCAAACAGCATGTATATAAAGTGCTAGAAGCTGAGTCTAATGGAGTTTTGGCCACTCCACAATAGCAGGTGTTATTTACACATTCCTCAACCAGGTACCACCTGCCCTGTTCGGGTCTCTTCTGGGCATTAAGTGTCTACTCCAGGGCTGAGAAGGGACACTGAGGGCCTGGCACATACTCCAGCTGTGACCTAAACTAGCCTCAGGGTAGACGAAGATTCCCCTCCCTAGGTACAGCTTTTCAGCTCACGGCCACCAGCTAGATAAGACCTTGCAACTAATATCTTCAGCCCAAAAGGCTGCCTCATGACAATCCCTGGGGACTTGAGGATGCCACACTCACCCAACAGGGACAGGAGGAACAAGCAGCATTCTGTATCTGCTAGGCAAGGGCCTAACAGGGCTAGCTGCTTTGAAAGAACACAAAACAAGATCAGAGGGCCTACCTGGATGGCCTGCATCAGGAAGTGTTGGGCCCAAGGGGCTCTGAGGTTTCAAAGGAAGGAGTGTGACTAATGGGACCAGCTCCACTTACCCCATAAGGACCAGTCTTGTGCAGAAGATAGGCTAGCCAGAGCCTCATGCCCATGTCATATAGATCAGTTCTGTGGCAGAATTGACAATGGCCATTACCTACCTGCTCCTAAGTTTGCACATGACATTGGATAAGGATGAGGGATAGAAACATCCCAAGACCCATGAAGGTGCTATGGTCAGTGGTACAGCTAAGTCCATCTGTTGGCCAGCCAATGTGTGTGACTTGGAACAGAACCAAAGACAAGGAAGGCTGGGTGATTGAGACCCTTCATCCTGGCTCCTCTTTCTATTAAGGATTGCTCTCAGGAACAGGCAAGGTGTCCACTCGGGTATCCCTGATGTTGGCAGCCTTCCTGGGCTTCTGCTTGGCCTTCCTCAGCATGTGGACCTGTTCCAAGGTAGGGATGGAGGGTCAGAGGGCTAGAGTAACATTAAAAGTGGTAGCTCTGAAGCCGGGCGTTGGTGGCGCACGCCTTTAATTCCAGCACTCGCGAGGCAGAGGCAGGCTGATCTCTGTGAGTTCCAGGCCAGCCTGGTCTACAGAGTGAATTCCAGGATAGCCTCCAAAACAATACAGAGAAACCCTGTCTTGAAACCCCCTTCCCCCCGCCAAAAAAAGTGGTAGCTCTGGGGCTGCAGAGATGGCTCAGAGGTTAAGAGCACTGGCTGCTCTTCCAGAGGTACTGAGTTCAATTCCCAGTAATCACATGGTGGCTCACAACCATCCATGATGAGATCTAGCGCCCTCTTATGGCCTGCAGGCATACATGTAGGTAGAACACTGTATATATAATAAATAATTCTTTAAAAAAAAAAGTGGTAGCTCTGGACCAGTGAATACTTGGCTCTATTCCGCAAAAGAGTGGCAATGGCTTCAAAGAGCTGGCTGTTCCATGACACCTGGAGTCTCAGAAGGCCAAAGCTCCTATATAGCATCGGCCAATGTGGCCTTAACCCTGATCCATCTTTCCTCTGCTCTGAGCCTTGTCAACATACCTTAGGCGCAGTAGCAGAGATGATCATGTGCCCGGGGGCCTGAACCCAGGGCTCACCATCCACTTGTACTGGAGTAGCCTTGAGGAGCGTAACGCGGAAGTAGGAGCCCTGGGCAATGCGGATTCCAGAGCGCAGCCCACCCTGGACCTGGCCCTGGACAAGACAAAAGCTGAGCTAGCTACTGGGGCCCAAGGGGTACCACAGGGCCTGCCCACCAGCCTGCTAGTGAGTGCTCACCATGTGCATGACACCCGTTACACCCACCACCTCCAACAGCCCGTCGTCTATGCGCGGCTTCTCAAACCTTGAGTCGCTGTCAGAGCCCCACAGGTCAGCCCCCGAGCCCCAGCTGCCCCCAAAAGATGAAAATACAAAGTTAAGCACAGACCAGACACAGACCTAGCACCTGGCCCAAACTGCAGAGTCTCTGAGAGCCCAGCCCCAGCACCTGGGGATGTTGATAAAGATGAGACCCTCAATGTTGGGTAGCTCCACCTCCTGCTGCTCCACCTGCAGCCGGATCTCCTTGTGTAGGCTTCGAGAGTGGCTGATCTTCTGCAGCCCGACTCGCACATACACGCCCTTGTTGTGGAACCTGCCACAGGGGAGGTAGGCATCCTGCATTACCAGGTAAAAACCGCTGGCTGCTGTAAGTGACCTGGTCCCCCGGCCCTGCCCTACTGGTACCTGCTTGTGAATTTGCCAGGCTCTTCCTCACGTGCCTGGTGGAAGTCTAGGCTGAGCTCCGCATCGATGCCAATGCCACAGTAGTTATTCATCTGAACAATCTGGAGACAGGGCATAACCAGGATGCTGGCCAGCCACTCCCGAGTGCCAGCATTCCCTAACTGTTGTCACCAATACCCTTTCCTACTAATCCCGTGCTTAAATGTCACAGCACCCCTAGAGAAGGCAGAACCCCACAATCCCAGAGGCTTGAGTTGGCAAGGTCCTGCTCTGCCTCAGGAGGAAAGATTCCCATCAGCAAAGGGGGAGTCAAATGTAAGATCCTAGCAGGTGCCACACTGGTACCTTGGGGGGCTCCGTGTCTACCACACTGTTCTCCGTACTGTCTGTCTCATGAGCATCCAGCAGGATGGTCCAGCGGTCCATGAGCACAGCATCAGCCTCATCCACAGACACCAGCACAGAGAAGGGGTCCTCACCACTGTAGCCTGCCCCCCAACGGAGGACCCGGCCAAGGTCGTTCCCTAGGAAACAGGAAAGCTAGCATAATCCACATACCACCATAAACCTCCAGCAAAACCCATAGTAGGGACAGCCCTGAGACCCCATCCTTCAAGTTGATGACTAAGCCCACCTGTACCCAGGGGCAGGATGGCCACAGATGGCTCTGGGCAGGCCAGATGGCGCCTTGTCTCCTCCAGGGCAGCGAGCACCCAGCCCACGGTGCCATCTCCACCACACACCAGTACCCGAAAACAGGGCACCTGGGAGAAAAGGTGGAACCTGTGTGGGAGACATTGCTCTGCCACTACCTCCTGGCTGCCCAGGCCAGTTGTTGGCCACACATGCTTGCCCTGGGCAGCCCTTTCCCTTTCCGATGTCCATGTCTGGCCACATGGAGGATTTAATGATCCCAGCAGTCCCATTTGGAGTTCCGACTAGCTAGAGACAGGTGGGGATTGCTCTTTCCACATGCCAGAAAACTCCAGACTCACCCAGGAAGAGGGCCCCCGTTGGTCAGCTCAAAGACCTGGTGTGGATTCAGTAGCTTCCGGAAACTGCAGAGCAGTTCTCGGCCCTTGAGGCCCCCACTCTTTGGGTTCACAAACACGAGGAGGGGGCAGCAGTCAGGAGGCAGCTTCGTGTGCTGAGAAGTGGGGGGCTGAATTATGTTGAGATCAACCATGTCCAGCCTCAGCTTCCAATCCTACTAAAGCCATCGTCCTCCCTGAGGCTAAGCAGACCACGTACTTATCTCAACTCATTACTGACCTCTTAGAATATTTCTTCCCTTGAGAGCACCACCATAGCTGCTTGACGCTCTAAGGACAAACGCCAGGGACATATCCACTATGACATATGTCAAGGAACCAGTCATACCCTGTTAGCCATGAAGCTACGGGTCCATGTTGGAAACCCATAGATCCCACCTGTCACCACCAGCCAGCTGGAGTGAGGCGTGGCCCTTGCAAAGCTACCAACATACCCACCCCTTGGAAATCAGCAGCTTCCATGTCCCACCTGCTACATGGCAGCCAAAGGGCTAAGTTTACATGCTGGTCACGGGGACAAAATCAGTCTTCCCATACATAATGCCAAGAGATAGTCCCCAG